CAGGGCCTTCTTGGTAGTGGAGGTCCTGTGCTCCATAGGAAAAGGTGGGGAGAGAAGGAGGGAGCTCCAGATTGACTGCAGTGGCCCTCAGGGGTGCACATATCCTTTGTCTACCTGGAGCTTCCCCGATTTGGGTACTGCCTTGCTCCATCCCAGTGAGCATAGCAGTACCACAGGGAGGTTGCCAGTGCCACTCCACCTCATCCCTGCAGGTGTGGGGAGATATCAGAGGCTTTGGGGGAGGGATATGACAAGGTGGCCGAGGGTGTCACCCTCACACCATTTTTATTTTCACTTAAAGCAAAGCTAAGCTGTAGGCAGCATCTTATAGCCTAGAAATGTTGTCCACATCATCAGCTCTGGTCCTCCTTTTCAAGTAAACAGTGGCTGCAGCCAAGCTCTGCTTGGGGTGAATCATAGATCAGAGTTGGAAGGCAACCCAGAGGACCATCTAGGAATATGCAGCTGTCCCTTATGGGACCTTGGTGTTATCAGCACCACACTCTAACCAACTGAGCTTGCAAACAAAGTGGTGCCTTAGCTTTCTTTTAAGGAAAAAACAGGAATGGCATTGGGGGTGGGGAGAGAGAGTGCGAGCACCCTCAACTACCTTACTGAATCTAAGCAACTGACCCCCTCATCCAAAAGTGGAATGACTTTCACCCTCACCCAATGGCTTGAGAACTTCTGGGAGGGTTTTTTGCCCCTCCACAGAAGTGCTGGATGGAGTGGGGGAACCTCAGCCATATAACTTATTCCACAGCTAGTTTAATCTCCATCCCCTAAATATGCTTTTCGTTTGTTCTTCATGGCCAGTTAGTCTCTGACACCTTTGGAAAGGATGTTAGTGAAGATGCCAGCTTTGATTATGATTTTTGGAGGAGAGTCCTTTTCAGTTCTCATAACATAAGTATCAGACATCAGGTGGCTACAGCTTTGACATATTAGTGAACTGAAATTAATAAATATTAGGAAGTTAGCTGAAGAAGCAACCGGGCTAATGCCATTTCCAGCACCCCCGTTTTAATTCAAAGGTGAATCCAACCAGCCAAACAAAAAATAATCCTTAAGAATACAAGAGCCCTGCTGGATCAGGCCAAGAGCCAATCTTGTACAACCTTCTGTTTTCACAGAGGGCAAACAAATGCCTATGAGATGACAACAAGCAAAACATGAGTGATACAATGGTCTCCCTTACACAAAAGGATGTCAGCTAAGTCAACAAACCATGGAAAATGTCTGTCCCCCCCCCAAAAAAAAATGAAGAAAGAAGGAATTTGGATCAACACTAGCCAGCTACAAAACTTACTCAGATAAGTCAAAATAAAAATATAAAATGATTTTTTAAAACGTAAGATGACCGTAAGCTAAATATGCATATACTTGATTGATTACTATGTGCCTACTTTCCTGATAATTGGGAATGGTGGTGCAGAGGCTGAGAAGTTGCATTTGATAGAGCAGGGTTTGGGAATCTGATGTAGGTGCCAAATGCAGCCCCCTAGGTCAAGGAATGTGTCCTTGAACTTCAATATTGCCCCGGTCTTGCCTGGTGAGCTCTGGCTAGCACTAGTGGTGGTGGCAGCAGCAGTAGCAACAGCTCTGCTTTGATCAGTATCATGCAACTGGGAGATAAGCTCCTAAATCACTCCAGACCTAGTGTTGCTGATGGGCATTGTGGGAAATAAAAATGGTGACTCCCAAACTCGTCCACTTGGGAGTCCAGGGCAAGCATCTGCGGTGGGCTGTGCCCATGTTGGCTGTGGTGTATTGATGCCAAGTCTGAGCATTAGTTACTTAAATTGAATTATTGGATCATCTGAGTGAGCAATCTAGTCTAGTGACCTGTATGTTAACCAGGGTGTAAGAGTGTCCCAGATCTCGGACTGCAGTGGTAACTAATCGAATCAGGTTCAGATTTTCTCTTTGGGCATGAGATTCACCTTCAGTCAGTTGTAAAAAAGAGAAAAGCCTGTTTTTCCCAGAACACTTTTAAGCGATCCTTCCGATAAGAGTTGACAGGCCGTTGTGCGAATGTAGTCAGCATGTATCTTAAGTGGTGAGAAAGAGCTCACAATAAATAATGTATTTGATGAATGTAGCTTCATTTTCTGCCCAGCTATGCGATATGACGTGACAAAAGAGCTAAGCACAGGAAAGGAGGATGTGGATGACACAGTGGAGATGTGTGCTAATGAAGCTCTTTTAAGCCCTAGTCAACTACAAAGAAACACATTTCATTTTCCAACATAAGGAAGTGAATGCTAGTGATGTTACAGAAGTTGGCTGGGAATAGAAATCTTCTGATGGTCTCCTCTGCTCCTAGGTGAGCATCACAGAATTAGAATTGAAATTCTAATGCCCTTGCGTTTGCAGTGGGATTAGAAAATGGCTCCTAATTCAGCCTGGAATTAGTCAAACTATTTTCCAGTTCTTTAGGAAACTAACTCAGCTAGCCAAACCTAAATCTGAATTAAGCATACCTGGGTATGGAATAATTTGTTAGTTTCCAATCCTAAATCCAGTTCCCCACATTTCTGCAGCAATGCATATTAAGAATAAATCCTAATGCAAATTCATTGTTTTAGTGCCATTTTTTCCTAATACATTTTATGCTGTTTTGACTAATATACAGTGGTACCTCGGGTTAAGAACTTAATTCATTTTGGAGGTCCGTTCTTAACCTGAAACTGTTCTTAACCTGAGGTACCACTTTAGCTAATGGGGCCTTCTGCTGCTGCCGCGCCGCAGCCATGCGATTTCTGTTCTCATCCTGAAACAAAGTTCTTAACCCGAGGTACTATTTCTGGGTTAGCGGAGTCTGTAACCTGAAGCATCTGTAACCTGAAGTGTCTGTAACCTGAAGCGTCTGTTACCCGAGGTACCACTGTACACAGTTTTGCAAGCCATTTCCCACAATACAATGCATTTTATGCACACTTTCCCCTAAAATATAGATTTTGTTACACATTGCATGAAAAACAGCATTGAAAAATTCAGAGAAGTGCAAGTTTTGAAGAAAAGTTGTGTTTTGGTTCTATAAGTGGGAACTGGTTAGTTTCTCATTAAAATTCAAACAAAACTGAGTTTCTCCCCCACCCCGGAGACCAACCCAGGGTTTTTTCCCCATCACTAGAAACCACTATTTGCTGTTTGACATCTGTTATTTTTCTTTACAAAAGTCGGTGGGAATTTTTCTCCCTCTCTCTATAATATTCAAGCTCAGTAGCCTTCTGGTATTTATCCATACACTTCACATTGTGTAGAGGAAGAAGTGGGCCTTCCTATCACCATGCATGAATTGTGTGTGTGGGAAAATTCCGGCAGCAAGAAGCCCACACTAGTGTAGAACATCTGTTTGGCATGCAGAAGACCCCAGATTAGATTCCTAGCATGTATAGGTAGGCCTGGGAATACTTCCTGTCTGAAACTCTGGAGGGCTGCTGCCTGTCACTGCAGACAATAATAGAATAAGCCCTTCTTATAATTAGAATTTAGGAGGACTGGAATACAGAGTACAGTGAACCAGAGTCACAGTAATGCAATGGATCTGAGAAAATTTCATAGGGAAATGTGTTCATGGAACAAGCAACAACCCTCAAGTGTTAAATCAAAGCAGAAAATAACTATCTCTAATTTCCAATATTTAGAAAGGCACTTAGGGTGCAACCCTAGGGCTCCTGGAAGGCTGTCCCAGGGGGCAGAGGATATGATGGACCTCACTTTCTGTGGGCAGAGATGGAGGTCTGCAGTAGAAACCCTTCAGTAATTGGTGTTAGAAAGCTCAACTTCTGTGATTGTTCAGCTGGCAGTACTCCATGGATGATAAGGGCAAAATGTGGGGCAGATGGGGAAGGACTCAAAGCTCTCCAGACTCACTCTTGAAATGGAAGCAACTACCCTAGCTCCAGTTATTTTAACTGCTATTGGATGATGGTGGTGATTTAAAAAAAGAAGAGAGGTTTCCCCTACCCCAGAACACACACACACACACACACACACACACACACACACAGAGTTTTCTACCTGGCTGGTGTGAGCTTGGCAGGGCTTAGGAAGTGGTAGTTCCTCTGCCCATTTGCTCTCCCTGTTTTAAACATGAGCATTTCTTACACTGAATACTGATCATTTTTTTCTCTCTCTTCCGTATCAGAGAATAGTGTAGGTGATGTTTCTAAGAGTACAAAAATTTTCCAACAACATGCATGATATGCAGATCAGTGTGATGCTGTGATATCACTACCCTGATTTGGGAGACTTGAAAAGCATCTTTCATTTTGTCTCATGAAATCAGCCTTTCTCTTCGAGAGGCTTGCAAAACCAAAGCCAAACTCATTATGACGCAATGGATATGTGCGAGCCTCTTATTTCCAGCTATGGTAAAAGCCTTATCAGCCCACGGAGCTTATTGCTATCTTGCTGCAGATGACCTCTGCTTGAATCACCATTTATTTTGGATTAATTTGACCTGATTTTCATTGTCTGTATTCTCAAGTAATGAAAGGGGCCTCTTCACAGTGCCCTGGCTAGTGAATTGCTCCCATGCAAGTCAGGATCCATATAAAAGCTTCCTTCCATTTCTGATAGTTCAGGTAGGAACTGCAATGAAATGTTACAGTGTGCGATGCTCTTGTTCAGGATTCCAGTCAATCAGCCATACCGTTTTCCAGCACGGTCCATTCCATTTCGTTCCTCTCCCCACTGCCTGCCACGTTTCATTCCTCCCTCATTCCACGCCCAACAAGCATATAGTTCCTATTGGACTGTTTTTGTCCCCATCTACATATTTTTTGTACTTCATCAAGCCTGTAGGGTTTCCACAAGGCTGCTGATCAATGGTGGCTGGTGACCACTGAATGGAAGGCAGGGAAATCAACAGTAGGTGGTACCAGAGTCAATGACAAGCAGAAAAAAAATTAATTCTAATTTTCATAGAATTATAGAGTTGGAAAAGACCACGAGGGTCGTCTAGTCCAGCTCTCTGCAATGAAGAAATATTTTGCTTGACATGAAGCTGGAACTCACAACCTGGAGATTAAGAGTCTCATGCTCTTCTAACTGAGCTATCCCTCAGGTCTAGATGATGGACTATTTCACTGTCCCCATCTTACTCCTCCTTGCTAATTCTATAGGGGGAAAAGAGACTAAGGAGGATGGCAACCAATGGCATCCCCTGGACCTGGTAAGAAGACAAGCAGATGGGGACTGGCTGAGAAGAGACAGAAGTTGGTGGGGCAATGCCCCATTAAACCTAATGGACTCTATGGCAATTGCTACCTCCCTCTCATGGATATTTCTGTTTTTGACACATAAAGGTCCACACTTGTAGAAGCAATGGTTGTCAACCTTTAGGACCCCTTGGCATATTTACAGAGGAAAGAAACCATTATGAACCCCAAATTTCAGTTGGGTAGATGGTGGGAGGAGAACATGGAGGCACAAATAAGGGCCCATGGGTGCCACTGTAGCGATTCTTGGTGCATAGAACATTTAGCATATCCTGCAAGTACTGTAACTCTTTTTCCCCTGAAAGGTCAGGAATAGCTTGCATCCTGTGTGAAACACAGTAGCAGAGGAAATGGAAGCCTTTACACAGACCCAGACTGCTAGAGAAGGAACCACATGAAGTGGGCAGCCTTCATGTGGGGAAAGGAAGTCTTAGCCTTAAATTCAAACCGAAAGATAAAAGGAAACATGAATGATTCTTGCTGGTCATTGTTGAGATGACAGCAAGTAGTCCACAGAACTCTGGAACATATAATTAACAATATTATTGGTGAGTGTGTTCTAACATTATAGCAAGTATTTCAGTGATTTTGTAGGTTAAGGAAGACAGGAATCTTCCTTCTACTGAGTCAAATCATTGTTTTGTCTAGCACTTGTCTATACCGACAGGCGCAACTTTCTGGAGCTTCAGACATGAAGATTTCAGCTCTGACTAAAGATGCTGGGGGGGTTGAATTTGGGACCTCAGCTACTGCCTTTCCCCTAGATAGTATCATCACAAACGTGCCTTTTGATTTTGAATTTTTAAAAAGGGGGGTTCCTACAAACAGATTTGTTTTCTGATAGCTAAATTTAAAAAAGACAAAACTAGCCGGGAAAGTAAATTTATTTCCAACCTTATAAGTGAGAAAGAGAGAGAACCACAGACAAAAGAAAACCCCCAAATATTTAAAATTATGAAAAAGTAATTGACAACACTTGTTTCCCTTAAAAATTAAACAGAAGCATATAGAAAAGGTGTTACATTTTTGCCTAACAATGCAGTAAAAAGTACATTATCAAGTAGTGAAAATTATGATGAAGATTATTGTCATTTTGAAGATAAAGGTGGAAATGACAACTTAACAGCAAGTTCACTTTTCCTCTATATGTTAATATAAATTGCGAGCTTTCAAAATTTTAATTCATATCACGGAAATGTGCAAATCTAGCAAAATAGTCTTTGGATTATAAAAATAGGAAAATAATAATAACAATAATCAAAGAACTCTTAACTAAAGGGTGTGAAAGTATATAGAATGTGCATTCTGTTAAAATGTAGTATTGAAATAGGACATGATATAGTAGTTACATTTTTTTCCTTACACTCAAGCCTACTAGTGGGGCATCTACCAATCTTAGACCTTTAATGGCAAAAGACAACTATACTGAAGTGATTAAATTTAAATCAACATCTTTAAGTTAAAACAAAAAGTACCATAAGCAATGCAGCTCTCGCCAATATTGGCACTCTTCACTGCCAGTTGAAGACAGAAGCAGCATTTATCCCACTGTCCAATCTCCTCTGGGACATTAAAAATGGGCTTTGCTGATGATATGGTTGTTTTCTATGTTACATTTTCAGACCTCTGAGCTTCCCCTACTGGCTATCTAAAATCTAGCTTGCTTACATTTGTTTCCAGATGTTAAACAAATAGATGAGCATAATCTGGTCTGTTGTCTAAACTAATCCAGAACTAATCTATAGTCCCTTTTAAAAATTGATTAAATCAATACATTGAAAATATTAAATAAAGAAGCTATGTATGTATTTTTCATTGTTTTATATTCTAAACGTTGAAGCAGCAATACCTGCCTGGCGAACTAAAATAAACAACTACTAAAATATCAAAGCACTAATTAATATATTTCTTAGGTAGAAGTTGGGTAGAAAATTGTTAGTGGGCATGCATCTCCAAATTGGGTCAGGCTGAGATTTAAGTCTCTTGCAGTCCGCAGAAGGCTAAAATGGATAGTCAGCTTAAAAAGCACTGAGTAAATTATAAGTACAGTGCATGCCTGCACATTTATAAAGTCATTTGTGAGACTGTCAAGAGGAAAGATAAATGCATATAACAGGGCAAAAATACTTAGGAAAACTGAACTGAATCCACAGCTGACTCATTTTGCATTTAAGGTGCTACTGCATTCTTGGAGCAGCTGCCAGCTTGCCAGTATTTCGCTAAAAAACAACTTGTAATTGATTTTAAATAATCACTTAACAAGACAACTTGAACTACAAACGCATAATAAATAGGGCTATTAAAAGGTCAAATGGGTAGTGAGGGGAGATATACATATGTAAATGGATCATTAGAAACAACACTTTCCCTTTAAATTTTTAATAAACAAAACCAGAAGTAAAAAAAGAATCATTTTTTTTATTTCAAAGTCTGCTTCATATATTGAAGCGCATATTAAAGCAACAGTACAATGTTCATAAAATATAAGTGTGATGTAACATTTCTTACATGTCAGAATACTGATATTTGTATGTATACTAAAAATAAGAACTTTAAAATTGTACAAATAGATACATTTAAAAATGACATAGAAATAGGGCGCCTCTCACTGCAACAAGACAGAGTTTTATATCTGGCACGTATTAGATTAAGATGAAAGTATAAGCAAAAAGATTTACAAGAGTCAGCAGAAACAAGTCGGATGCTCAAGAGACATTATAATTGTACATTGTCCTGTACATACATCATATGTGTTTAAGCTGGCTGAATATTATATATTTCAAGTTTAAAAATGCACTACATACGGAGTGTCCATAGTTTAAGGCGAAATTACAGCTCAGAACTGTTATCCTTTCTAATTTGTGGAAGCTTCTTTGACATAAAAGACTTAGTTGTTCATCATACATACAAAGATTGCCCGATTGTAGGATGATTTTTTTAAAAAAAGAGTTTCCCTTCACTTAAATATTTTGTATTTCACAAGTGGTTATTTTTGTCCCCCTTCTAGTGAAGTTGATAACCAACTCCTATATTTGCCTTTTGCATGAAAAGGTTCTTCACAGTATTTACCACTTTTCTTAACATCCGTTTTTAATTTAAGGACTCTCCTGAACCCCACCAAACCAAAAAATGCTTTATACGAACCTTTTCTTGTTTTATTTTAAAAAAATACCTGCTTACATTTCCTCTGATTTCCTTTTCTCAGAACATTAGACACAGTTCTTAAGGCCAAATTTTAACTTTATTGTTAAGAATCATCTTCAAAAGTGTCTTTGGAGCCATATAAGTCTGCTAGTTTCTTAAAACGAGGTCCCCAATTTTGTAGATAGTCATAGTCCAAATCGGAATCTGTCGTTGCTGACTCCAACGAGCTAAGTGAACCAGCCACTGAGCCTCTTCCTTCATAGCCATAGATCTGGATAGAGTCATAGGGAGGAGCTGTTGGGTCATTGTCTGCTTCTTGTATTCTTGTGTTGATAAAGTCATCAACATCAACACTGTTTGGAGCAGGCCGAAGCCCTGGCCGTGGCATGTACTGGTACTCCGGCTTTATGTCTTTGCGAGGAATAAATCCATTGATGCCGTCGGGGTTTTGCAAAGTAGCAATGTCAAAAGCTTCAGTGTCTTCTTCCCCGCCACCTTCATCATCATAAGTAATGATATTCTCTCGAACATCTTCTTCTTCAAAAACAATAAGAGGCTCTTTCTTCTGACGTTTAAGTGTTACAAATAACACTACAATCACTGATGGAGGAAATGAGAAGGTTATTATTATTATTATTATTACTAAAAAGCAAGTGAAAGAAACAATCTTCTTGTGCACTGGGCAAATCTTAGAATAACAGGCAGAAATACTGGGTTGAATCCAAAGATTCCATTCCATTCACATAATGAGCTTCTGTTCTAAGAAAGTGAGTTCTGCTTATGGAAGGCCTTCTTTTGTCCTTCCATTCACAGAATTCTTCTATGCATGAAAAGCCTTTCTGTGAATAGAACAAAACTTTTGGATCTAATCCATTTTGAACAGAGATGTGCAGAGCTCACTGCAGGGTGAATTTGTATTTTAACAGGTTAATTTCCCATATGCCTGCTGGATGTCTGGAACACAATCTGAGCTCCTTTCTGGATTTGAAACACACCAGGCACTGACACCCTGATCTGGTGCTTTTATGAGCCCTCTCCGTCAAGGGGATGGTGGAACTCCTGAGATTATGCTGGGAAATCTTGAGACTCTAGACACTAAAGGCACATGGTGCCTGCTTGGCACTACAAAAAATCGGGATTCACCAAGATGTGGCTGCTGTGCTGTGCTCAGTTTGGTGTATACTGAGTTCAACATGTTTTTGTAGGATCACACACCGTATTTTGATGGAGAAGGGAGAAGGAGGAGAAGCAAGAAAAGGGAGAGGAAAATAAATGTTAAGATTTCCTTACCTAACAAAATGACAATACAAGCAAGGATGGCAATTAAAGCTCCAGTGCTAAGTCCGGCATTGAGGACGTAGGCTTCTGGGTTGCAAGAGATTAATTGTCCATTTCCATCACAACCACACACCCGGATTGTGAGTATGTTGGTACTGCTCTGTGGCGGATTCCCACCATCACTTATCACGATGGGCAGAGAATACAAATCCTTCGTCTGCCGGTTGAAGCTTGTGCGTTTCGCATAAACACTTGCTGTGTTATCTGTTGTAAATAAGATAATGATCATTATAAGGCTTATTCCAGCACCAACCCCTTTGTAAAAAGAATTTGCATTTGCCCTTTTGTCCAAAATAAACACAGAACTTCGGTCCTAATGGCATGACAACATTTTAACATTATGTCTTCTGCATATTGTCATG